GTACTCTCTTAAGTAAAAGAATGGAGAACTCATCATGCTCATGGGCCAAAGACGATTGTGAGCACAATTCTGAAGTCAGACCAGCTGGGTTCAAATTCAGCTCCACTACCTCCTGGCTATGGGACTGGAAATTATCTAACCTCTCTGTGTTTCAGTTCCTTCATTTGTAAAATGCAGATGATGATGATAACAGAAGCTACCTCCAAAGACTATTGTGAGTTTTAAATGAATTATTACGTGTCATAAAAGTGGTCAATAGCTATTAGTTACTATTATTACTGGGCCAATTTGGAGACCTGGATATTTACAGAATTAAACTTCCAGGACACATATAACTTTGTCTACATAAGAAGGATGATGAATAGAAAGTAACTTTGTGGACATACTTGGTCAAACTGAATAGCTAATGATGTCCTTCAGTCTGTGTAATACTCCAGGGGTACCCAAAGACTCAGAAATGGAATTCTCTACAACTTCCTAGAAGGCTAATTATAAGGCTATTATCTTAATGGCAGCTTAATTTACTTTTGCTTGATACAAGTTTCTATTTATAATCTACTTTCTCCATTGCATCTCCAAGTCAATACTCAGAATAATATATTTTAAATCCTAGGGCAGATTATTGAGACTTATCTTATTGACTTGGAGATTGGAGATTTGGATTATTCCTAGTATGTTTTCTTCCATCTTTAAATAGTAGTTTCTCTAGAACATCAAAGACATTCAGAAGTGGTTCATATTCCACTTTTCCAACTTCACTGACCTACTGATATACTACTTAAAGAAAAAAAAAAAGAAATAGTAGCTGTTATTTAAGAATCTTATTTTCCCATCTCCTGCCAGAAAAACGGTGAAAGACAAGGTATTGTTTCACTTTGGGTAAGACAGCAGTTTCCTAACAGTTCAAGAACCTGTTCACCCTCTGCTCTGATCACAGACTTACTCACCCCTACATCTATATAATATATGCCCCCTAACAGTGTGGTATAGGACCACCATCTAGACAGAATCTCCCTAAAAAAGTCCCCCTTCTTTTTGCCACCAAGCTTTCAATTCAATTCTTATATACCTAACCTTTAAGGTTTCTGGGATTCCTTTGTAATATTGCATTGTGCCAAGACAGTGAAGAAGAGGCCCTTTGATAGACCAGAGGGAGGCACATCTGGAGGAAGGATGCTGTTAAGGAATAGATGAAAGAGGATAAATAGAAAATTCCTGACCACACGTACCCATGAAGTTTAAACGAACAGACTGTCTAGTGAAATTATCTGTTATTTTAAAAAATGGATGGCAAAGGTTTTGTCAAAGAATGTGGGCATTTTCTAAGGAAATGCAAATATTTCTGTGTCTAGTAATTTCTAAATTACTTTTTAGCATGTGCTCAGACAGACATACACACACTTTGATTTAGGATTTAGAATGGCTAAATATCTTTAAGCCACTGACGAATAGTTTTTCATTCTAAATGCTTTTAGTGGCTTGTAATATTTTCCACTTTGTCAGGAATTTTGCTAAGAGCTAACATGCATGTAGGAGCAAGTCATGAAAATGGCCACACCTGCTTAGAAAAGAAGAAAGTCCCTCTTTCAGTAAGAAAGCAAGGTTATCATAAAATACAACACCTGAAAAGCTAGTGGGGCTAACTGTGATGCATACTTCAGACACCTACCAGCTCTGTATCTATATAACAGTTCTTGTATCTATGTAACAGTCACATTTAGGGTGACTTAAAAAAAATGCTGTAACACTTCTGAGTCACCAGAGAGGACAGGGTATCATAGTTAACCTGAAAGAGGAAGATCCTGCCAAGGTTAAGGATAGAAAGGAAATATTCTTGTCCTCATACTCTCTCCTCAGCAACTCTTTTTGTTTGTTTTTTGAGATGGAGTCTTGCTCTGTCACCCAGGCTGGAGGGCAGTGGCATGATCTCTGCTCATTGCAAGCTCCGCCTCCGGGGTTCACGCCATTCTCCTGCCTCAGCCTCCTGAGTAGCTGGGACTACAGGCACCCGCCACCATGCCCGGCTAATTTTTTGTGGTTTTAGTAGAGATGGGGTTTCACTGTGTTAGCCAGGCTGGTCTCGATCTGCAGACCTCATGATCCGCCGGCCTCAGCCTCCCAAAGTGCTAGGATTACAGGCGTGAGCCACCGCACCTGGCCCTCCTCAGCAACTCTTAAGGGATGCTGGCTCTCAGGAGGTGGAGACTGACCTAGTTTTAAAGACAACATATATAGTATGACATGCTGCTCTTTTGGAAGGGGAAAATAGAATTGTAAAAGTCAACCGGCTGGGTGTGATGGCTCATGCCTGTAATCCCAGCACTTTGGGAGGCTGAGGTGGGTGGATCACAAGGTTGGGAGTTCAAGACCAGCCTGGTCGAGATGGTGAAACCCTGTCTTTACTAAAAACACAAAAATTAGCCGGGCATGGTGGCACATGCCTGTAATCCCAGCTGCTCGGGAGGCTGAGGCAGGAGAATCATTTGAACCCAGGAGGCGGAGGTTGCAGTGAGCTGAGATTGCACCACTGTACTCCAGCCTGGGCGACAGAGCAAGCGAGACTCCATTTCAAAAAACAAACCAAAAAAAGTCAACCATTAATCATTTGGCCAGGCGCAGTGGCTCATGCCTGTAATCCCAGCACTTTGGGAATTCGAGGCAGGCAGATCACCTGAGGTCAGGAGTTTGAGACCAGCCTGGCCAACATGGTGAAACTCCATCTCTATTAAAAATACAACAATTACTCAGGCGTGGTGGTGGGTGCCTGTAATCTCAGTTACCATGGAGGCTGAGGCAGGAGAATCGCTTGAACCCAGGGGGTGGAGATTGCAGTGAGCCGAGATTGTGCTATTGCACTGCAGCCTGGGTGACAAGAGCGAAACTCTGATTCAAAATAAAAAAAAGTCAGCCATTCAAAATGATTGCAAATTTCCCCTTCAATGACTGGAGATATAACCACATTATCTGAAACTCTCTTTTGAGGCTTCACTTAACCTAAATCCATTCACTCACTCATTCAAAAAACATGTATTGAGCACTTAGCATGTCCTAGGCCCTGTTGTAGGCACTGGGGATGTAACTGAACTCCGTTCTCATGAAGTTCACATTTTATTGGGGAGTGACAGGCAGGAAAGAAAGAAAGAAAGAAAGAAAGATGTGTCTGAGGAAAAATGAACAGGATTAAGAGGATGGGGTATAAGGATGCTATTTTATGGAGAATCAGCATAACGAGGATAGTGAACTTAGGTGATATTTGAGCAGAGACCTGAATGAAGTGAGGGAGTCAGTCACCTGACAACGTGGAGGAAGAATAGATGCTAGATAGATGGAAAAGCAAGTGCAAAGTTCCTAAAATAGAAACACGCTTGGCTTGTTTGAAGAACATCGGGAAGGCCAGTGTGATACAGTGAGAAGGGGAAGGGTGGTTTAATGAGATACTTGTGGAAGGTGCCAAGTATCTAGAGCCTTATAGACCAGGGAAAAGACTCTGAAATACACTGGGAAGCAACTGGAGGATTCTGAGCAGGAGAGTAACCTGATGTGACTTACACAAAGGATCATCTGGTTGCCGTGTACACAAGAGACTGTAAGTAGCAAAGTGGAATAGCTCATTAAAACAGTACCACTGTAATCTAGGCAAGAGAAGATGGTGATTTGAATTACAGTTGCAGCAGTGGGGGTACTGGGAAATAATCAGACATATTTTGAATGCAGAGCCAGCATGACTTGCTTAAAGAATGGATTTGGTAGGTCGGGCGCAGTGGCTCACACCTGTAATCCCAACACTTTGGAAGGCCAAAAAAGCTCTTTTCTAGAAGAAAAGAGCTGCCATTTACTGGAATGGTGAAAACTACAGGACCAGCAGACTTGAGGCTGTGTGTGTCTGTGGGTTTGAGTTGAAAGTTGTCACCAGGCACGGTGACTCACGCCTGTAATCCCAGCACTTTGGGAGGCCAAGGCGGGCAGATCACGAGGTCAGGAGATCAAGACCATCCTGGCCAACATGGTGAAACCCCGTCTCTACTAAAAATACAAATTAGCCAGGCGTGGTGGTGCGTGCCTGTAATCCCAGCTACTCAGGAGGCTGAGACAGAAGGATAGCTTGAACCTGGGAGTTGGAGGTTGCAGTGAGCCGAGATCGCACCACTGCACTCCAGTCTGGCAATAGAGTGAGACTCTGTCCCCACCCCCCAAAAAACAAAAAAAACCCCATGAAAGTTGTCTTGTACTTACACGGCCTATTAAACATCCAAATACCTAGACTGGTGCCTGCCACGTGGTAGAAGCTCAATATTTATCGAGTGAAAAAGGTAACATATTGAGTAAGGTAACTGAATTAAAAAATCCAAGTATATCTATCTACTATGAACTTCTCTATATATTTAAGTATATTTACTCTTATGTTTTGCAACCATGAGGACTCATCAGAATCCTTTACTTTTTGGTCCTGGAAGAAATATTGGAAATCCTCCAACTCACATATTCTAAAGTAAGTTAAGGACCAGAGATTAAGAGACCAGTGATCAGGGTCAAGCACATTTATGCTACAGCTAGAACCCAACATCAGGCTTTCTGATTCTTAATTCATTGTTCCACACTACAACAAGCTCTTCTTGCTCCAAACATCAGTGCTAACTTCATATGTCCAGTGAACTATTCTTTTCAAGGAGTATATTGGAAGGGTTCTCCTTACAGACACTGACTAGTTGGAATCTATTTCACAAAGCATTAAATGCAAGTGAAAACTTCTATACATGAAGTAGTCTTTTTTTTTTCTTTTGAGACGGAGTCTCACTCTGTCCCCAGGCTGGAGTGCAGTGGCGCAATCTCAGCTCACTACAACCTCTGTCTTCTGGGTTCAAGAGATTCTCCTGCCTCAGCCTCCTGAGTAGCTGGGACTACAAGTGTGCGCGACCACGCCCAGCTAATTTTTGTATTTTTAGTAGAGATGGGGTTTCACCATGTTGGCCAGGATGGTTTCTATCTACTGACCTTGTGGTCTGCCCATCTCGGCCTCCCAAAGTGCTGGGATTACAGACAGGCGTGAGGCACCGTGACTGGCCAGTAGTCATGATTTTCAACACTCTGGCAACAAGTTTAGACTGGTCAGCAACAGCAATGATTTTTAGATGTCCATTATATAGATAATATATATTACTTGACAATTACGTTGGCAAACAAATACGTTCTTTGACTAGGTCTGTATAGCTAGGAAAATACTCGATCCAACTGGCCAAGATCGCGCCATGGCACTCCAGCCTGGGCGACAAAAATAAAAAATAATAATTAAAAAAAGGGCTTAGCATAGTATCTGGCCAGTAGGAAGAAATTATGATTATTATTTTTAACTTAGACCTCTCTTAATTGTCTGAAATTTGGGTTTCTTTCAGGTGAAGAAAGAGGACACACGCTGTCTCTGAGGCTCCCGCCAGCGGAGACAATCTCTAATTAAAAGTAGGCATCGGTTAAATATTTGCTGAACAAAGTTAACTGTCTCTCCCCGGAACCCGTTGAGTGCCCACTCGAGATCCGGCCGGGAGTCGGGCGGGACTGGCCCGTGGGAACCACAAGCCGACCATGTTCACCACCTCGGCCCGGCTCGCGGCATACCTTCTGCTCGCCTCCGGGACCGCAGGGACTTTCAGTCGCGGGTCCAGTAGTGCGCCACTTCAGCCAGCAGTCCGGACACGCCCCTCCTGGCCCAATCCCCGCCCCTCACACACCTGGCCCCGCCCTGTCGGGAGCTCGGTGATCCTCTCTGCGCCGGGTTCTCTCAACGCCCGCCGGCGGCCACGCCCACCCCCGACGCTTTGAGGTCACTTACAGGGCCGACCCTCGGGGGCGCGGAGGGCCGATGGCGGCAGAGGCCAGATATTGGTGCTGCCTCCCTGAAACCCGGACCGGCGCCGAGGAGGCCTTTCGGCTGGCGCCAGCGGCACTTCGGGACCCGCGCCGGGGGGACCCTGGCGGCGGGGCCTGGCCCTGCTACATGCGGGCGCTTCGGCTGGAAATAATCAGACATATTTTGAATGCAGAGCCAGCATGACTTGCTTAAAGAATGGATTTGGTAGGTCGGGCGCAGTGGCTCACACCTGTAATCCCAACACTTTGGAAGGCCAAAAAAGCTCTTTTCTAGAAGAAAAGAGCTGCCATTTACTGGAATGGTGAAAACTACAGGACCAGCAGACTTGAGGGTGTGTGTGTCTGTGGGTTTGAGTTGAAAGTTGTCACCAGGCACGGTGACTCACGCCTGTAATCCCAGCACTTTGGGAGGCCAAGGCGGGCAGATCACGAGGTCAGGAGATCAAGACCTGGCTGGAGTGAGCGGCGGGGACGCCTCTTTCCTCCGGCTCTTTCCCTGTTGCTGCGAGAGTGAGTGGGCGGCGGGCGACTGAGGCAGCCGGGCCGGGATGTTGGACGTTAACTCCAACGTGAACGCGGACCAAGAGGTGCGGAAGCTGCTGGAGCCGGTGAAGAAGCTGGGGAAGCAGCACGAACAGCTGAGGAGCCGCTCGCGCTGTGCGGGGCCCCGGCTCCATCGGCCCGGCTGGGTGGTTCGCCAGCGCCTCTACTCCCTCCTACGGCGCCGGGTCCCCTCGGGGCTTCCCCTTGGGCCTCAGCGCCGAGTCGGGCGGCGGGGCCGTATGTACCCGAGGCGGAAGAGTAACCAGAAGCTGCGGGACGCCACCTCCTTGCTGGCGGCGGGGGAGGGCGGCTTGCTGGACTAGCTGGAACGTCTGTCAGGCTGGGAGGAGGGGGAGGAGAGCTGGTGAGCGCGGGGCGCCGGGCGGGGCTGGTCGGGGAAGCCCCAGGGGCGGAGGGCATCCCCGAGGGTCCTTCTGGTCGGGCGCCTGGCTTTGTGTAGCCAGGTTCGCTCTCGGCGGGTACTCGTGGTGTTCTTGCTCTGGCAGAGGGAAGGTCAGTTGGAGTTGGGCGCTCGAGACTTGCGAGTAACAGGGCTTCTAGCTCCTTCTCTGGATTGTGAACCCTCTGGATTGTGGATCCTGTTAGTTGGATCCAGAAGGGCTGTTCGCTGTGGGGAGGAGTCGGAGGTGGAAAACTACTTTGTAGGCAGGGATTCTCCTTTGTATAAGAGACTGGCTTTCGGATGGTGGTCTGGGCATTTTGAATGTTGGGGAGGGGTCGGCTTGATGAGGTATTACCAAGTTCGGGGGTTGCAGACCAAAGTAGCCTACGTCTGTGCAGCGGCTGGTGTTTGGGATCAATTTCTAGCGGGAATGGGGAGACCACGTGGATCAGCACTCCCCTTTGGGTAGTGGGGTAAAGCTTGCTCTGTGTGAAGAGGTCAGAGGATGGTGCTGTTTTGTGTGAAGAATCCAGGGTGGAACAAGAGCCCTGGCTCTTCTTAAAACAAGAATTGAGTCTGGCATTTTGCAGAGTTCTGAATTGACAGTTATCACATCCATCCTTCATTTCCACGTCCTCCTAGGGGCAGAGAAAGAGTCCTATTTAAATATCTAAACCAAAGCTGTATTGTCATAAGCCACTTCTTGACAAAATTGGGACCCACACCTTAATATCACTTTCATAAATAGGGCATGGGAGGCTTTTCCCCTCGTTTTATTATAAAGATGTCTGTGGGAAATTCTCTTAATTCATCCTTTAAAAAATTTTACCTTTTAGCTAAAGTGTCTCTGCTCAGCTGAAATTCAAACTTCTAACTTAGTGAAATCGAAATCATTCATGGACTATAGTATAGCAGGGCTGGAACTGTGCAGTGTTCTGAGGTAGTTAAGAGCTTTGCTGGATTCAGGCCCTGGTTCTGTATGACCCTGAGCAAGTTATTCTGAGCTTCAGTTTCTTTCTCCAATAATAGCACTTACTCTATAGAGTTCAGAAAATTTAGTAAGATGATCCACGTATGCATTTAGCACTGGATGTGGCAATAAACTCTCCAAAACTAGCTGCTGTTTATTATTATTATTATTATTATTATTATTATTATTATTATTATTATTATTTTGAGACAGAGTCTCGCTCTGTCGCCCAGGCTGGAGTGCAGTGGTGCGATCTCGGCTCACTGCAAGCTCCGCCTCCCAGGTTCACACCATTCTCCTGCCTCAACCTCCCGAGTAGCTGGGACTACAGGCGCCCGCCACCACACCCGGCTAATTTTTTGTTTTCGTATTTTTAGAAGAGATGGGGTTTCACCGTGTTAGCCAGGATGGTCTTGATCTCCTGACCTCGTGATCCTCCCGCCTCAGCCTCCCAAAGTGCTGGGATTACAGGCTTGAGCCACCGCGCCCGGCCAATATATTATTCTTAAGCCTAGTTATTTAAATCAAACATTTAGTGAGCTCTTACATGATGTAGTAGGAGACTCTGAAGATTCTCAGGTGTTGATCCCTGTTCATAAGGCAGTTATAGTCTTGTGGAGAACTAAGTTTTATGCAGTTAAATAAACTAGAAAGTGTATAGTGAATTACCAAAAAAGAGATATTACCAAAAGAGAGAGAGAATAAAAGGTACTGTCAGTGCTCAGTAAGAAAACAGTAGTCCAAAGTAGATGGGCCAAACTTTGAGGAGGAGATGGCTTTGGAGTCTGGAAATGAGGAAAGAGTGGGAAGGGCATTTTATGCTCTGACAACTACAAGAACAGAGTCAGAGATAGTTCTAACTCCCAGTTAAGAAGATTTGAATAACAGAAGTACTTTTGAGTATATGATGACAAACCTTTATTTTTTATTTACCTTTTTTTTGAGACAGAGTCTGGCTCTGTTACCCAGGCTGGAGTGCAGTGGCATGATCTCAGCTCACTGTAACCTCTGCCTCCTGGGTTCAAGCAATTCTTCTGCCCCAGCCTCCCAAGTAGCTGGGACTACAGGTGCCCACTACCATGCCCGGATAATTTTTGTATTTTTAGTAGATATGGGGTTTCACCATACTGGCCAGGCTGGTCTTGAACTCCAGACCTCGTGATCTGCCTGCCTTGGCCTCCCAAAGTGCTGCGTGAGCCACTGTGCCTAGCCGACAAACCTTTATTACCAAGTGATATCAAATATTATTAGAGCTGGGTATGGTAGTGACAGTTTTTCATATAAATGTGAAACTGCATCCTCCCAAAGGAATCCTGAGTATGTATGTACTTTAAAAGAAGCCAGAATCATCTAAATATTGTCACATGGCTCTTGCAAGTGATGATAATAGTGATGCTCATAACAGTGAGGATTAACTGCACTCATCAGCCTGTAGAAAGTAAAAAGTTTCCTTTTCGAAATTTCCTTTCTTGTTAAAGAATAAATGATAAGTGAGAAATAATAGTTTCTTTTAAAGACTAACTTCTTTCAAGCCTCCTCTCCTTAAAACTCTTTGTTAAGCCCTGTCCTATGTAGCTGTTAGATATAAGGGAATAAGTATATTCTATGTCCTTGTACTTTAACCAAGATATTTGTGCTGGATATGCTCTCAGGCACGTTCCAGCTCGCAGCCTATGCCCCTTCCTTATTTGGAAATATTACTACTTTTCTAAGTCCTTTCGCAAGCAACTTCCTCTTTTCCTTTGTTCTCTATTGCCTTTCCCTATTTAGGAAAGTTTTAAGTTATTAGTCAGTCGAGTTTAATTTAAATTGTGAGGTCCAGCTCCAGCCAATGGAGACAGGACACAGTAGCAGGGACAAGCTGCATAAGGGATAAAAACTGCTTCCCTCCTTTGTTCGGGTGTGCTGTCACCATTGTTTCATCTGTGAGGAGCACCCTTTCTGCAGAAAGTAAAATTTCCTTGCTGAAAAAACTTTTAATCTAAATGCTGATTTTTCCTTGCAGTACTGAGGAGCAAGCATTCTGTTTCTAAATAAACATTTCACTTATAACAAGCCCATTTTATATTATGTATTATTAGAACACACTGAGTCCATTTGGAGAAGCTGCTTTGGTTCCTGAGCATGAGCTTTGTTAAGCTTTGTCAAGTCTTCCTAAATACTATGCCAGGAATTTCTTTTGACCAGATGATTCCTGCTTATTGCTTTGATCCTGGCTTCATATCTAGATATTATAGATGTCCTACACTTTTTCTGAGAACATTTGTGTGAATTGAGAGTTGAATAAACCATATGTAAAATGCATTGGGGCATGTGTGTAGGGTAAAAGTTATTGGGGGTGGGTATCAGTGGCAGGAAGATTCAAAGTCGAGATTTTTTTCTTTCTTAGCAAGCTAAAAATCTACCTTTTGTAACTTCTAGCCATTGCATCTTCTTTTTATCTAGAAGAATGTTTCCTCCGGAGTGTATAGTGTATATGCAACAAAGTGCTTGTTCTGAAGATGTCAATAAATACCATGTAGGAAAAAAAGTGGGTGGGTTCTGGGGTTGATAAATGTGGGAAAAACTGGATTCAACAAAGATAACAGTTTCTTTAATGCTGGGCTCTTGGAGATGCTAATGTATACTGAACATAGTAAATCTCTAAGGAGTATGGTTTGTTCCTAAATCTAATCGAACTCCCAAGGAACTAGTATCTTATAGAACACACATAAAAATAGTACTCTGCAGTAGTCACTTTCAGACTTTTTTTTATTGGATCCAACTTCATGATAAGAAATATATTTTAACTCAATCTATTCACAGGTATATGAATAACTGAAACAGAAGTTTCACAAAATTATGATTACATTTACCACAAATGGTGTGCTCTAATATTTTCCTTCTATTCTGTTTCATTAGAAAAAAATGCTGGTTACTTTCCAGCTAAGCTGATTTTTGACCCATTAATGAGTTTCAATTCTCACTTTGAAAACACTGTTCTAGAATAACAGAAAGGTCTAGGGACGAGAACTAACATCACTGTGCATCACCGTGTGTCAGTCTGTGTCAGGCAGCTTATAAATATTTTTTGCCTCTAATTTTTATACATTTATGAGGTAGGTATCATTTTCTAGGTAAGGGCACCAATCTCTCCAAGCCAAGTGACACATAGTAAATAATGGCACCAGGATTTGAATATCGGTCTTGATACGTCATAGCCTATGCTGTTCTCACTGTATTTTGCTTTTTCCAAGTATGATCCCGTTTTCACATGAATGGCCCCTTCACATATTTGAAGACTACTGTCCTGTCACTGCTGACTCTTACTCCCTGCCATACATGGTGGGCATTCCCTTCTCTTCTTCAGAGTAAATAATCCCAGTTAGTTTAACCATTTCTTAGATAACGTAATGCTCTGATCCTTCAACCATGGTTATTTTTTTCTGAATTAAGCCTTAATTGATCATTGTCATTATACATTATACCCAACATTTTAGATGATATTTGACCAGAGTGTGTGGTGGGAATGAGCCAAATGCTGTTTTTTTTTTTTTTAAATCAAATATTTCATTAACAGTTTCAACTTCTGTTACTTGTGCTTAATATGAACCAGAAGTATCAACTTCTCTCCAAAATGTTTTATACATAAGATGTTAAACTGAGTCTCCCTAATCCTGTTTTTGTGAAGTGGATTTTTTTTTTTAGCTTAAATATAAGGCTTTTATTTTTATTTTTTATTTTTTTTAGGTGTGCTTAAATATAAGGCTTTTAAATTTCCTTTCGTTAGTTTTTAGACATTTAATATTACACTTTCTATTTGGTCATCTTTATATTTGGTAGGCATACCTACTATGTCTTCATTCAAATTGTTGATAAAAATATTGACAGAATAAATTACTCAGAAGTGTGCAAGTCAACTAGACTCACTTCAGATTAACACCAGTCCATTAATCAGCACACATTATGGTTGTTCAATAACTACTAGTTCTATTTTTTTTTTTTTTTTTTTTTTGAGACGGAGTCTCGCTGTGTCACCCAGGCTGGAGTGCAGTGGCCGGATCTCAGCTCACTGCAAGCTCCGCCTCCCGGTTTCACGCCATTCTCCTGCCTCAGCCTCCTGAGTAGCCGGGACTATAGGCGCCCGCCACCTCGCCGGCTAGTTTTTTGTATTTTTTAGTAGAGATGGGGTTTCACCGGGTTAGCCAGGATGGTCCTGATCTCCTGACCTCATGATCCGCCCGTCTCGGCCTCCCAAAGTGCTGGGATTACAGGCTTGAGCCACCGCGCCCGGCATTGTTCTATCTATTATTGTCAGGCCCATATGACATTTTGTGTGGATATTAGGAAAGATTTTGTCAAATGCCATACTATAATTAAGCTATACTGTGCCTACAATATTCTCACCTACAGCGAAGAATACTACATTACTAAGCTATGAAAATAACCATTGCAGTTGATTTGGTTGAACTTGTTCATGGTGAATCTTCTAGCTAGGATTTCATGTATTCACTTTTCCTTTACTAACTTCCAAACATTCTTTTTAATTTAATTTTGAATTTTGCAAGGAATCAGTTTGGTCTGGACTTTCTAGACACTGCTTATTTTTTCTCTTGAGAAATCCTCATATTTCCTTTTATCCAGACTTTTGATCCTGCCAATGTTCACGATGATATTAGTGATAAAATTTCTGTTCCTTTCCATCACTGGGAGTGATATGCCTAAACCCATGTCAAGCTACATCCTGGCGCACTGGATCAATTTTATCTTAAGTTTATGAAGATGCTTTAAACTCTTACTGACTTCTCATCAATAACCTTTGTTGATAAATGTCCCAATTCAGAGACAGGTAGCTCTGTGGATTTTATTCTTTTTTGTCACTTGTGGCTCTTCACTGCTGAGTTTATTTATTACATGACTTCTTTGTTTATGTATGCTTTTTGTAGAGGGCCATTGGTAAAATTTGCCTGTAATTTAATTTGATAAGCCTAAGTTAATAAAGCAATTTGTGTACTTATCACCACTTATCTGAATAGTTTGGCAGTCATTCACTGATTAACACACTAACATCTTGGGAAGTTTTGTGTTTTCTAGACTCTTCTGTACCAAGGAGATGTTACTTTAAAGTAATGTGGTTTCTTTATGTGTGTGTGTTAGATTAATCAACCTTTTTTTTTTTTTTTAAAGATGGAGTCT